AATATAAAGGGAAACGGAACCTCGACATTCTTATATCTCTCAAGATCAGGGATTCAAATTGCGGTCGTGGTCACGTTTTCGGTCGCGTTGCATTTATCGCGGTCGCAGACGTAACTGATGCTATCGCGGTCATTGCGGGTATCGCGGACGTGATTTTTTTTTTAAATTCGTACAACTTATTATAAATATAGTAATTATAATTATAATTATAAAAAATCACTTTGAATTATTTTTAGAGTATTTTGTAACACTTGTAGACTTTTATTAATACATAAACACAATTTTTATCATCATTAATTATTTTTGTATTTATTTATAAATTTCTTAAGAATATTATATGAACTCATAACAAATAATAAAATAGAAAATATTGAGTTCAACATAGAGTAGGGTTGGAGAAAGTTTTCAATGCAACAATTGGATGTTATTAAAGAAATAAATTTTTATTGAAATCTTAAAACTACAAAAGAACGAATTACTTATCTATCTTTGGAAAAACGCGACCTAAAATATTACAAAAAACATTATATTTTAGGTTACGCACAACTTAAAATGGTTTTCTTACTTTTTCTTAAAATGTTAACTTTTCCTTACTTTTTTTCTGGTGCAAATCTTTTTAGTAATATTTTAGGTTGCAACAAAAATGTTATTTTTCATAATATTTCAGGTTGAACTGAAAATGTTAAAAAATATGATGTCTTAAGTTGCGTGTAACCTAAAATGTTATGTTTTTTATAACTATTTTAGGTCACGCTTTATAATATTTTAGGTCACACATTTTTTTAACCTTATATTAGACTACCTACCCTAAAACTCCTCCAAGAGTAGCCCAAACATGGAGACTTGATTTTTCTCTCTAGGTCCCAGGGATTTCCCGAACGTTTCAAAAAACAAAATGGAAGATTAGGATGAAAAAAAATCTTTACTTAATAAATTTTTAATTATTCATAATATATACATTCTACATATATATTACTCAAATTCAAAAAATTCTATAAAAATTATATTCATTTTACCTTTAAAATTTACTTTTTGGAGTTATTTTATAAATCCAAAAAAAATGATCTAAAACATTTAAATTATTAATTCGAGTTATAAATCTCAATTAATATTTAGATTTGATTTATATTTAAGTTTTTGGAATCTGTTATTAATATATTATACGTTTACTAAGAAATATAATGGTTTAATAATAAAATTATAAAAAAATATTTTAATTATCCAAACGTTCTTAAGTTAGATTATTAAATTGAAATGATGTTTAATTGAAATGTTAGTGCCTTAAAAGTTGAGTGTCCATTTATGCAATTTACCCTAAAACAAAGTATGTAATATATTTTGCTCCTGTTTACGTGTAAATAAAAAGCCTTATTTCCCGCCTATATCAAAGCCTTAATTTCCATCAGCCTTCCTCCTTAAATCCTCCCGTCGCTTCCACCACTACCACCATCACCCATCCCCTTAAAACCTAAACCTAAAATGGATCCGAAAGCGGTGAAATCATACTTGGTCCTTATCCTAGAGTTCATATCTCAACACACCCATCTCGTGGCCTTATTCTTCTTCAAATGAAAACTTAAAACAACAATTAGAGGAATTGCATAAACAACTTAGAAAGAAACAGAGATTTGAAGCAACAATTAGAGGAATTACATAATCAAACTTGATGTTTAGTGTTGTAACGGGGATTAACGGGAAAAACGGTCCGTTATAGCCGCGATCGACCATTACCCGTTAAATTGCGGCCGTTATAGGTGTGATTTCGACTGATATCGGTAACGGGGGCCGTCGATACCGAGATATAACGGCCGTTATACCGTTACACGGCCGTTTTTTGAATCCCTGCTCAAGATTGTCTGTTTTGCAGACTTCGGTACTCTTTCTTTATACCCTCTCTTTTTATTCTTAAAAAGAACTTTTGGTTATCTTGCATTGGTAACTCCTTTTTTTGCAGGGATTGGACTTACAAATTTGGGTGATTCCTGGAACATGGAGAGTGGTAATATGTTGAGTGGTGGAAGCTTCTCAAGCTACCACCACCAACAGTAGTCGTGTTATTAGCCATCGAAATGCTGACACCAACATCTCCATTTCTCTGCAGCTCGATAGTAGTAGCAGTAACAATGGCAGCAATCTGTCTTCTGGCTTTATCGGTTTCTCTCCAAAGAGTGTACTTCGGCGAAGCAATAAAAAAACTGAGTCTTCACTGCATTTTCAAGAGTTTTAGGAATGAGTTATGGATATTTTGGGGTAATGTTTGGGGATGTGAGGGACATTAATGGTGTTTGTAGGTTAGGTGGTGAGTTGCTTGGTGAAAAGTGCAGAGAGCAGGGATGGTGATGGGGGTTCTTCTTCTAAGCTTGAAATTGTGACATTAGTTATGGAGTTGCAGTTGATTTTGGTCTCTTTTTAATGCCGTCGTTCAATGATATGCCAAACTTTCTATTTTACACACCTTCATTTACAACCTCATCCTGCATTCAAATCTTAGATAATCCTCACCTTATTAAAACACATTATATATCTTTCTGATTAGGGACTTAGCTATTAAGGACTTTGGACGAGCTGTTGTCATAGATGAAATATATTAATCTCATAATATAAAGAAAAGGGAAGGTTGTAAAATTAAGAAAGCATAGACAACGCATATTTTATCAAATATTATTATTAAGGGAAAAATATTAATTTTTGTCCGTTTTAATACTTAAATTTTTAAATTGTTTTGAAAGTATATCTAACGTTTAGTTTTTATTTCATTTTAGTACTCCGTTGTTAAAAACTAATCGTGTTTTGTACCTAAATTATTAGTTTCGATCCATCTTAGTACCTAAACTTCCAATTGTTTTCAAAATTTAATATTTAATTTTGAATTTAATTTTGAACAGAAGTACTAAAATGGAACAAAAATTAGACTTTAGGTATGATTTTGAAAAAATTAAAAACTCGGTTATTAAAATAGATCAAAATTGATAGTTTAGATACTAAACGCATAATTTGCCTTATTATTAATAATTTTCTCATAATAAGTGATAATAGAGAGATTTTTTATTATATAATTTTACGTCAAATGTTTCATTGAGTAGGATGAACAAACATAAGATTAGGTATAATCGCACATCTAAGAAATGGAAGACACTAATTCTACGTCAAAAAAGAAAGACTTTATGACACTATGTGCCTCTAATTTTCTTGTGTACAATAATATTTTTAGTTTTTAACTTAAATATTAATGAATTATACCTTTACTCTTCCCAAATGTTTGAATTTAAATATTTAATAATTTTTATTTTTAATATAAAATATTTTTTTTTATATTTGATTCTAATTCTATTCTCTTAGTAAGATTCAAGAGGAAAAGAAATCCAAAACGAACATGTGTATGCAAAATCTTCGAGCCCATCCAAAGCTAGAATTTGGGCTCCAAATGACTACAAGATCCAAAAAATGCCCAATATAAGAAGCGCGTGTAATATGGATCGTTTTCTCCATGTTTTCCCTTGAGCCGTGGCCTAACAAATAAAAATAAGTGAACTCATATTATTGTTTATAGCTTTCTTTTTTAAGTGCTATTTAGTAGTTGTATATAAAATTTAGGCACGAATACGTAATAAAGGAGTTGTTATTAATTGAATATCCGGGTTCGAGCACCATGAATGCTAAGGGTGTGAGTCTTCAATGTTAAAAGGGTTATAATTATCTTTGAACAGATATTGTCTTATACTTACTCCATATTAACTAAATATATATATAATTTAGGGTAAAGTACAGTCTCCTGACTATATGGCAAGGCTTTGTTGAGTGTATCGTCTATTAAAAGGATGATGAGTTATTAAGTCTTTTGATTATTAAAAAATATAAAATGGTCATTTAACTATTCATATGTTCCAAATTCATCATTTTTCATTAAAAAGGTGATGGACGAACACGAGGGTATGTTCATGTTTGTTCCTTTAACTTTAACCGAACAAATAAACACACACGAAAAATTAAAATGAACAATATTTTTTGTCCATTCGTTAAGGAGTATAATTTGTTTGTGTTTATATAGGATCTTTTGTTTAATTGATAAACGAACTCAAATAAACACAAATGAACCCAAAGAAACATAAACAAATGAACATAAGATGTAACTTTCTTTAAAATCAAGCAAAAATTCTTAAAATAATGTAAATAAATGAACATAAATATAAATTTAAGTAAACGAACATAAATGAATCGATTATCGAACGTAAACCAATTGATTACCGAATGTAAACGAACTAACATAAACGAACGTATTATCAAACATTCATGAACATAAATTAGCGAATGAGTCATTTATTCGTGTTCATTCATTTTAAACCAACATAAAATAATGTTCATGTTTGTTCGTTTAATAATACTAAACGAACTTTTCGCCAAAAGATTCGTTAAACGTTCGTTTGTTTATAGTTATAATTGAACGTTAATATACTGACTGAAATATAATAAAATATAATTCTATAACCGTTTGAATTATATAATCATATGAGATTTTCAAATCAAAATTTTATCATATCCAAATTAGTAAGTAAATATTTATCTTAAACAAACGCCAAGTTTAAATGAAAAATGAGGAATTTTAAAGATATAAATAGTGAAGTAAACATCAGTAACTTTTAATAGTTAATTTTTTATTAATATTAGTTAAAATGTTAAATAGTAATGGTTGGTAGAAATAATAAAAAACAAGAATAAAAGAAAATTGGTCAGAGTTCAGATTCAGACCAGAGTCAGCTTGCTTGTTGGCGAATCCATTACCGACAACATTCACACCAACTTTAAAACTCCTTTCACCATCAAATCTGATTGGATGCTACTACCTCCCTTTTATTCTAATCCAACGCTTCCCATTTCTCCACTTTTTAAAATCTAAATCTTCACCTTCCGATTAGATCACCTTACTCGAGCATATCCTCCTCTCTCTGTCTCTATCAGATCTAACCAGCCACGCATAAACATAAGGCAAAAAAGAAGAAAATAAAAATCCTTCCTTTTGATCCTTGGAGAGAGAGGAGAAACCCCAAAGAAAGAAAATATCAAAGTTGGAGTCTTTAAGTCTTTAAGCTTCAAAGTTACCAACTTTACAGTCATCCCAAAACACCCAGATGGTGGAAGCGCAGACATGGACTACAAGGCGGATGAGCAACCCGAGACTGGACTCAACGGCCACCGTCGACCACGAGGTTTTGGACATTCCGGTGACCCCAACTGCCGACGTTAGGAACAACATCTACACCGTTGGATCCCATCTGTCTCCTAACCTTTTGACGGTACTGATCATTGCTTCCTGGTTCACTTCCAACATTGGTGTCCTTTTACTCAACAAGTATCTCCTCAGCTTCTATGGCTATCGTTATCCGATCTTCCTCACCATGCTTCACATGATCTCGTGTGCTTCTTACAGTTACGTAACCATAAACTTCCTCGAAACAGTCCCAAGGCAACACATTTTGTCGAGGAAACAGTTCCTCAAGATCTTTGCTCTGAGCCTCATCTTCTGTTTCTCCGTAGTGTGCGGCAACACTTCTTTGAGATACATTCCGGTGTCATTTAACCAATCTATTGGTGCCACGACGCCTTTCTTCACCGCCATTTTCGCTTTCTTAATCACTTGCAAGAAGGAATCCGCCGAGGTTTATTTCGCTCTTTTGCCCGTGGTGTTCGGGATCGTATTGGCTAGTAACAGTGAGCCACTGTTTAACCTTTTTGGCTTCCTGGTCTGCATCGGTTCCACCGCTGGTCGTGCCTTGAAATCCGTGGTTCAAGGGATCTTATTAACCAGTGAAGCCGAGAAGCTACATTCGATGAATTTGTTGTTGTACATGGCGCCTATGGCCGCCATGATTTTGTTACCATTTACACTATACATCGAAGGGAACGTTATGAGCATCACATTAGAGAAAGCTAGGAGTGATTCTTTCATTGTTTTCTTGTTGCTTGGGAATGCTACGGTGGCCTATTTGGTGAATTTGACGAATTTTTTGGTTACCAAGCATACAAGCGCCCTCACTTTGCAGGTGTTGGGCAACGCCAAAGCCGCATTGGCCGCGTGTGTATCGGTTATGATCTTCAGGAATCCAGTCACCTTGATGGGAATGACCGGATTCGCCGTTACGATAATGGGGGTGGTGCTTTACAGCGAGTCAAAGAAGAGATCCAAGGCACAGCTCGCAGCACATTGACAATAATTTCCTCAAAAGATAAGATGGGATTCATTTTAATTGCCTTTTCCTTTTCTTTTCATTATTCTCTACAATTTATTGCTTTTTAAAAAAAAAAACTGTTAAACTTTTGGTTAGATTCAATGGAGGGAAGGAATCAAAGAAGAGAATTTGGATAAAAATGAGAAAACTGTGATCGGAATTGTATAGGAACGAGTGAGGGAAAAGTAAGGGGCGAAAGGATTATATGCTCCACTTTTCCTTTTGTTTTTCGGATGGTTAAAGAGAATAAAATTCTCTCTATGTAATCTTAATATATATGTTTTTGCTGCATTAATATGGACTGATACAAGACCCAAACTTGCTGCTGCCTGTTATAATCTGTAGCTTCAACTTCATTTTCTGCTAAATTTTGTTTTCAGATCTAAATCTGAAATGCATTTAGGAGCAAAAACATGTTTTTGTATGATTGAGCAGCGTGTAGGCCTATTTCTTGATAAGCTTTGAGGTCACCGACCATACATCTACTTTCCTCCTAGGTGCCTTTCATTGATGAACAAGCATGCCCTATGATTTTCAGTTTATTTTATCGGTGGTTGTTAACTTGGAATTTAAAGCCATTCTGGGATAGTTAATCCATTCCCGCGTATGAAACATGTGTTTCAGCCCGACCTGTTTAACTTTGACGTTGCCGTTTATGTGCCTCGCTGATGCCGGTTGCCATGTATGCGTCAAGCAGTTTAAACTATTAAATTGCACCAGGGTTGCTCTGTAATGGTTGAATGAGCAGAATTTTGAATCGTAACAAACAGGGTTGGCTCAGTCAAATTTGGACATCCACAACAGGCAATTCAAACAAAAACGTGGCCTGTTCCTGTTTGTTTTAATTCCCTTGTCTTCCTTGCAATCGATACAAGAAGTTGATATTCCAAATCAGTTTACGTTGGATTTATTTATTCTCCCCATTCCATATAATCCAAGGCTTAGCATAAAACATAAATACTATGAGCCATTTGGCAGACTTGGAACATATGCACAGAAACACCTACAACTCTACTGGTTGGTTGAATACCTGTTTACAACAGCAACACATTCTACAGAAGAAGAGGAAAGGTAGTTTTGAATTGAACCCGTTCCAAGAAACAAAGTGGGGGCTCCTTTTCTCGGTGCTGCGACAGAGCTTGTGAATGCAATCAGAGGGTTCCAGTGATCCAGTCACTTTCGGCAAAGTTGCCCGGGTAGACCGTGAAAAAAATTATTGGCTCGTATAAGTTTTCGTTGGATTTATTTTCTGATCTAATGTGAATGTTATAGAGCTCATTTGGGAGACATCCGGAACACAACACGTCTTCGAGAACATGCAGTGACTACAATGTGCCTCCTACTTTATTCATATGGTAATCTTGGCATTCTAACTGTCGGGATCGTCTTTCGGATGGGCCTGGAATTAGGCTTCAACTTGAATTGATTATGTTAGAGTCACCACCGACCATTTTAAAATGAATTTAGGTGGGTCGGACACCATCTTACCTGATATGCGTTGTACCAGAAACGTGTCGGGTTCGGGAGTCGGTTACAGTCAAGAAAGGATTAGCACCCTTGAACCGCCCATTCGGTACCAATTAATTTGCCGGTTGTCTTTATTCGCGAAAATTAAAATTTAAATTGAAATTTAAAAATTCAATTCAAATTACTCACCTTTGGTTAGTTGTAATTCTTCTAAAAAAGATCGAAAAATGTTAGAGAAAAATAATAATAGTAACAATAAACAAATATTAAATGAAAAAAATAACAAATCAAAATAAAGAATAAAAGAATAAAAAAAAAGAAAATAAGGAAATAAATAAATAAATAAAAGAAATAAAAAATGATAAAGAAAAATAGAATAAAGGGAAAAATTTAAATAAAATATATATATATATAAAGAAAAATGATAATTTAAAAAGAAAATAGTGAAGGAATAAAAAATAATTAAAATTTGAAATCAAACAAATAAAAATTACATAAAAATGAAAAAATAAAAATTAGAGGATCGAATTGAAACAAATCGGAATTAACGGGCTAAATTAGTATTAGGAAAATGATCTGCAAAATAGAAAATAAAAAAGTGAGGGACCAATTCACAAAAATAAAAAAATATAAACAAGGATCAAATTGATTAGATTAAAAATTATGAGGCTAAATTACAACCGGTGACTGAATTGTAAATCGATTCAAAGCTCTAGGGACGGCGGAAAGAATTTAAGAAACCTCTAATTGCAAGGAGGCCCTGATATATAAATAGCCAAACAAGCCTATTTCCCTCTTATTTCTCTCATTTCCTCAGATATATATCTCTCTCTAAAAGCGAGAGAGAACTTGGTTCCCTCGCCTCTCTCCAGCGCGGTCAAGATCCGGCCGCCCCTCCGTCGGTCAACTGCCATCCGCCGCCGTTTTCGACCGCCACTGCTGACAGTCGAAGAAAACCAAAAACACCAAAATACTCGCCTCTTCCCCGAGAACCCAAAGCCTAGCCCCAAACACCCAAAATATACCCCACCGGCGTAAATCTAATCAAAAGTCTCGGCCTTTTACCTTTCCGGTGACCTTTCCACTTCTGTTCTCGTCGTTTGATCTTTGTACTTCGTTGTTTTGCTTGATCTCTCGGTTTTACTGTGTTTCCGATGTTCGATAATTTAGTGGTCGTTTGGTTTTTGATATTTTGGGTTTACTTGTGTACTGCTGATGGCTTTCGGTTTTTATGTGTCCTTTGTGTGGCTCTCTCGTTGATGTTTTTGTGTGTACTGTCTCTCTCTGTCTTGTGGTTCGATCTCTCGATGATGATGGTTTTTACCTGTTTGGTTTAATGTTGATAATCGGTTTGCTCTGTTGATCGATGGTACTTGGTTGATGGTTCTCTGTGGTTTTCTCTTTTCTGTTCGTTCTCTTTGTCCCCGTTTGGTCGATGGGTAGTGGGATATTTATACCCCCCACCGGCCGTTTGTGACTTTCGAAATACGGGGCTCGTTGGCTATTGTGGCCGGTCATCCCGGGATGGGTTAGTCCCGGGATTTCCGCCGGCCGTTTCGCACCGGACCTTTGGACCCTCTGACTACGCGACACTGACCGTTTGGGATCCCAAACCCTAAACATCATCTGGTTGAACTATTACTGGATCGTTTCATTGGATTTTTGGGCTGGTTCAGGCCAAGTTCTTTAATTATTTGGACCCTATTTTGGACCTGAAACAAACAATAATAAAATAAATAAATAAATAATAAAATAATAAAATAAATAAATAGATAAATAAATTAAAAACATTTTTTAAAACTATACAATATATGTTTAAAAAAAATTCAAAATCATATAATATATATTTTTAAAAAATAATTTTCAAAACCATATAATATATATTTTTAAAAAATAATTTTCAAAACTATATAATATATATATATTTTTAAAAACTAATTTTCAAAACTATATAATATATATATATAGTTTAAAAACTAATTTTCAAAACTATATAATATATATATTTTAAAAACTAATTTTCAAAACTATATAATATATATTTTTTAAAACTAATTTTCAAAACTATATAATATATATGTTTTTCAAAAAAAATAAAAAACTATATATTATATATATTTTTTAAAAAAAAGTTTTCAAAACAATATAATATATATTTTCAAAAATGTTTTCAAAAATTATATATTATATATTTTCAAAATATTTAAAAAACCCATATATTATATAATTTTCAAAATGATTTCAAACTCTCTATATATATATATAATGGACGAAAATTGGTGTCTACAGCTGCCCCTCTTTGTCCTTTTTCGTGGAACGAAAAATAGGGCAAAGACAAAAGGACACAAATTTTCGTTCGATGGAGTTGAGAATTGATTTGAATTAGGAATAACTCCCTGTCGAATTTGAGTTGCGGATGGCTCCCTCGTCGTGAAGTCGAGTCCATCTTGAAATGATATGGAATTGAAACCGTAGTTCAAAATTTGAAATCGAAATGTGGCTTCTCGTTGCCAAACTGTAGTCAACCTTGGTCTTTTTTTCGGCTCAAAGACCTTAGTTGGAAATTCGAATGGAAAGTAGTATTTGACTCCACCATGTGGTTGATAAGCCTTCGAGCTAAATGAAATTGAAGCTGAAAGGTCTTCTTTGACGTATAGCTTTTCTCGACTTAAGCTATGCTGCCGGAAAAAAGGTTTATTGTCACTAAGGCACGGTTAACCCATATCTTCTTCTCGACTTGAAAACCTCGGCTACAACTGGACAATAGTGTGATTGATGTGTCATCAAGCTGAATGGAACCGAACTCGACAATTTTATTGACATATAACCCCTTCTTGCTTTGAGCTATGCTGCAAATGATGGTGCCTAGGAGCTGAGCGTAGTCGAACTCAAAGGTCTTTGAAGAAAGATAACCCTTCTTGACTTAAGCTATGCTGCAGATGATGGTGCCTTTGAGCTGAGTATAATCGAACTCGAAGGTCTTTGGCAGATAGTCCTTCTCGACTTAAGCTATGCTGCAAATGATGTGCTTTGGAGATGAGCGTAATCGAACTCGAAGGTCTTTGGTTGGAAGATAACCCTTCTCAACTTAAGTTATGCTGCAAATGTTGGTGCCTTTGAGCCGAGTGTAATCGAACTCGAAGGTCTTTGCCAGATAGCCCTTCTCGACTTAAGTTATACTACAAATGATGTGTCTTGGAGCTGAGCGTAGTCGAACTCGAAGGTCTTTAGTTGGCATATAACCCTTATAGCCTTGAGTTATTCTGCAAATGATGTTCCCTCGAAGCTGAGTGTAATCGAACTCGGAGGTATTTTGGCAGATAGCCCTTCTCGACTTAAGTTATGCTGCAAATGACATGTCTTGGAGCTGAGCGTAGTCAAACTCGAAGGTTTTTTTATGACAGATAACCCTTCTAGCCTTGAGTTATGCTGTAAATGATGTGCCCTCGAAGCTGAGCTTAGTCAAACTCGAAGGTCTTTGGTGACAGATAACCCTTCTAGCCTTGAGTTATGCTGTAAATAATGTGCCCTCGAAGCTGAGTGTAATTAAACTCGATGGTCTTTGGCAGATAACCCTTTTCGACTTAAGTTATGCTATAAATGATGTGCCTTGGAGCTGAGCGTAGTCGAACTCGAAGGTCTTTTGATGACAAATAACCCTTCTAGCCTTGAGTTATATTGTAAATGATGTGCACTCGAAGCTGAGTGTAATCGAACTCGAGGGTCTTTGGCATATAACCCTTCTCGACTTAAGCTATGCTGCAAATGATGTGCCTTAGAGCTGAGCGTAGTCGAACTCGAATGTCTTTGGTTGGCAAATAACCCTTTT